CCACGGCCCCCTTTTGGAGTAGTGAATCAAATTGGGCCGGATCTGTTCTCCCCGGGACGCAGCAGCGTGTGGAGCGTATTAGGATTGGAACCGGTACACGTTAGAGATACGCATCCGCACTGGGAACCCTCGACGGCGCCGGGAGGTGACGGCGTAAGGATGATCGGAAGATGGCTCTGGCCAAGGGAAACGAAGCCCTTGGAAAGGGCAAAGGAAGGAACGAGGAGCCGAGCGCCAGGCCAGGGCACTGCAGGGACCCCGGAATACGCGGCTCTGGCAAGCCGAGGTCCGGTCCGGTCCCGTCCCGGGAGTCCCGGGCGGGGCTCACGAGGGTGTGCGCCAGGTGCGCGCGCGGTCGGGTTAAGGACACCTGGGCTTGAGAAACCGAGGTGACAAAGTTGGGGAAGTCGAAGTCGGGGATGGGAGCCGGGAGGGGAAGGAATGCGGGGATTTCCAGGCTGGGGATGACGAGTTCGGGGAGCGCCGGTGCTCAGCCCTGGCCGAAGGAGGCCGCTGCGGGGCTCGGCGGCCACTCCCCCAGCGAACCCACTCCCTCGCGGGACCCGGCCCGCCGCCACCCGGCCCCGCTCACCTCAGGCCCGAAGCCTGGATCCTCGGCGTCCGCCGCGCACTCGACCCCTGGGCGCCCGCCGAGGCGGACCCGTCGGCCAGGCGGGCGCGCCCCCCAGTCAGCGGAGCCCGCCGGACGGCTCCGTGGGCCCCGCGGCCGCTCGCCGGAGCCCGCGTCCCCTCACAGCTCCTTCCTCGCCGCAGCTGCCGCCGCGCTCGGCCCTCGGCCCGGGCCCAGCGCGGCGCCCCTTCACCCCTCCCCGTGGCGCCCCGGGGAGCTCCGCCCCTGGGCCCGGGGCCTGTGCGCGGATTGGTCGCCGCTTGTTGCGGCGCGCCCTGCCATTGGCCCAGGGCCGCCGACGCCGAGGGGGCGGGACTCGGGGGGCAGCTGCGATTCCCGTAACGCGGCTCCCGGCATCCCGGATTCCGGTGGCGGCGCCCGCACTGTCGCTCCAAGATGACAGCGCAGGGTTCCCCCACCTCTTCTCTGCGGACGGAAGGAGAGGAACGTCCCACATTCCCGGGGACGGGCGCTGTCGTGAACTGCAGTCGGCTGTTGCCGGCGTCCGTGCCCGCCGCTCTCACGGGGGCGCGCTCCCTCCCTTGGGGCCTTCCTGGAGGACTCGGCGCTCCCTTGGGGACCCGGAGGCTGGGCGCCCCTTGGGGACAGCCAAGGCAAGGGCTCGGCGGCCGTGACTGCGCTGGAGATGACCGCAGTTTGCGGTGGCGGCTTTGGTCCAAGTGTTATGTAAAAGACTTGCTGCGGTACACTTTTTCCTTGTTAGTAAACGAGTTCGGGTATGATTGATCAGCGAACACAGGGCTGGTGACTTGCGAAGAAACCAGTGTTTTTGCGGTTTGTACCTCAGAATCTGCGATAAAAATACCGGGCAGGAACCGGTTTCGTTGTAATCCACCCTCACTTCCCATCCCCTACCCCACTGCTGGAAAATGAAGGCCCACGTTAGCATACTTTTTTTTTTTTTTTTTTTTTTTTTTTCCAAAGCAAGGTGAGAAGCTTAGAAGATAAGGGTGTGTGTGACTGTAAAGAAGCATTCAACCTCAGAATCTTGGGGTGAAGAGTGGCAGCCTACAACAAGAGCTTTTTCTGTTGTGTTTTGCTGAGCTGGCAACCAAATCCAGATCCTTGGACTTGCAAGGAAAGTGCTTGTCCCCTGAACTATAGCCCTAACCCACAATGATGTCTTAATGAACACGTTTTACACAGAAAATAAGATTACTAAAATTCTTAATGTTGAGGATTCAGGTAGCATAAAACAAATCAAATTATGATCTCTTAGTTGTTGATCAGGTATTTTTAAAAAGACAGAGCAAGTAGACCTACTAGGATCGTCCTGCGCAGTCTTGGAGGTGGTTCTCTTGTACGCAGCTAGGGTGTGACAGCGTGGCCAGGGAGCTGGGCTCCAACTAAGGAGACTCGGTGGCTGCTAAACAGCAGCAGCTGAGCCCTGCGTGATGTTCTAAACACTCAGAGCCCGCACCTGGTATCAGTCTGCTAGCACAAGAGCAAGTGAGACTGCCTGGACACTAGGTGAGGCAGTTGTCCCCAACCCGTTCACGGATTGGCACAAGTAACCAAGAAAACATCGCTGCTGGTCCCAACCCCCGCTGATAAGTTCTGCAGCTGATGATGTGTTCAGGGCTTTCTTGTCACCCTATGTCTAAAGTGAGACCAAATTGTAGTCTATAGTTTTGCCATTTGTGAGGGCCTTGTTTGAACATAATTATTACATTTATCTTGAATTGATAACATGTACCTAACACATCTTAATTTTTTTCATCTACTCCTAGCCCTTTCTGATCCTTACACCGCTGGGCCCTTTTCCCACTTGCGAACACTATTTCCTCCCCCCAATTCACTTTTTCTTCTTCTTTCCCATCCTTATTTCTTCCCCTCCCTTCTCCCTTCCTTCCCATCTCTTTGTTCTCCTTCCCATTTCAAAAGGAAGAAATTTTTCTGTCAGTTTGCTCTTTTTTTTTTTTTTTTTTCCGGAACCAGGAATTGAACTCAGGCCCTTGCACTTGCCAGGGAAGCGCTTATTCTACTGAGCCATCTCCCCAGCCCCTCAGTTTGCTCTTTATTCATAGTTTGGCTTTCGCATATGAAGGAAACCATGTGGTATTCAAGTTTGTGTGTCTGATTTATTTCACTTAGTGCTATGGTGTCAAGGTACATTCATTTACTTATGCACGTCTCCAGTTTCTCCTTTGTGGCAGAATAGTACTCTACTGTGTCTAAATACCACATTGTCTTTGTCTATTCATCTGGCATATAGGCCATTTCCAAGCTACGGTGCTGCTATGAAATGGGTATAGATGTATCACTGTAATATGCTTTTAACTGTTGAAAATGCCTTTAAGGGGAATAGCCATGTCATCTGGAATTTTTCTTTTTTTTTTTTTCTTTTTGGTGAGACAAGGTTTCACTAAGTAGCTCTGGTTGGTTTTGAACTCACTGTGTGGCCCAGCCTCGAGGTCATAGTAATCCTTCTGCCTCAGTGTCCCAACAGGCATGTACCATCATGCTGGGCCTTTTTTTCCTTCTAAGCAGGATCTCTCTATGCAGCTTGGGCTGGCTTGAACTCACTCCTGCCTTAGCCTCCCAAATGCTGAGAATACAGGCGTGTGCCACCACATTTGGCCTGGGATTTCTAGTTTTCCTTTTCTGTGAGGATGCTCCATCTTGGTTGTAGAGTACTAGCTTGCATTCCCACCAACAATGTAGACCTCCCCCTTTATTTTTTGTATTTGAAGCATTCTGTTAATAAGATGTAACTTTTATTTATTTTTATTTATTTATTTATTTATTTTTGTGGAACTGGGGCTTGAACTCAGGCTCTTGCACTTGCCAGGGAAGCACTTATTCCCCTGGGCCATCTCCCGGCCCCTAAGATGTAACTTTTAGAATAATTAACATTTCCCAGGAGCAACGGGGCGAGGCTGGAGAGAGAAAGCCCTGTTAAAATGCAAAGTGGGGAAAACAGCCTAACAGTGAGGAACATTTGCCTCTTGAGTTCACATGGGATTTTAGATTTATTAAGAAGGAGAGTGAGGAACCTGCAGTGAGGGCGCAATAGGAAGACAAGTAAGTTACCTGGCAGGAAATGCACAAAACTAAGGAGGAAGAAAATGCTGTGGAGCAAAGGTAATGCATGGGGAAAACAAATGTCACCTGCCCTTGTGGTCCCCCAAGTCTGTTCCTGACCAGGGTGTTTCATTCACAGCCTCGTCTCTTCCCAGGTGTGCATCCGTGCTGAAACTAAGCACATGCCCTGCATGGGCCTCATGCGCCCAGCACCCCTGTTGATGGCTTGGCATGCTGGCCTTACAGCTGCCTTTCATTTTTAGTAATCATCAGCATTGTAGAAGCACACCCCACACAGAGCTGCACCTGCAGCCCGTCCTTGAATGCCATTACTCCTCCAAGATGGACCTGGTTCCCGTCTTTGTTCCTAGAGCTGTCTATCTATCTCTTATATGTAGTTATTTTTAGTTTTCTGAGACAGGGTCTTGGTATTTTTAGTCCAAGGTGGGTTTGAGCTTGTTGTGTAGCCTGCTGGCTTTGAACTTGTGATTACTCTGCCTGGGTCTCTCCAATGCTGGGATTACGGTTTGTACCACCATTCCATTCCATTTTTTTTTTTTTTTTTTTTTTTTTTTTTGGTGGAACCGGGGATTAAACTCAGACCCTTGCACTTGCCAGGGAAGTGTTTATTCTACTGAGCCATCTCCCCAGCCCCTGCACCACCATTCTTTAAAGGTTATCCTTCTATTTTTTTTTGTCCTACTCCTATTTAATCTCCTAGTTTTATTTATTCTATTATTGTTTTATTTATTTATTTTTGCAGTTCCAGGGATTGAACTCAGGACCTTGTGCTTGCCAGGCAAGCGCTTATTCTCCTGAGCTATCTCCCTGGCCCAGTTTTATGTCTTTCATTATTTACATTAAGTAGTTTAAAAACTTTAAAAAATTAAGTATTAACTAGTGAGAAACAATGTCTCTATGTCTTAAAAACTTTGTGACATAACAATCTAGGACTGGGGAGATAGCTTAGTGGTCTAAGCCCCTGCCTGGCAAGCTCAAGGTCCTGAGTTTGATCCCTGGTACTACATCTTGCTGGCCTCAGACCCCTGGGCATGGTGTGTGTTGGCCCTGAAACTGGGCATGGTGGTGCATGCCTGTAATCCCAGCGCTGGGGAAACTGAAACAGGAGGATCACCATGAGTCTGAACTGTGTAGTGAGACCCTGTCTCAAATAAATAAATAAATAAATAAATAAATAAATAAATAAAAACAATCTAATTCATAGATAAAAGTAACTAAATGTGTCTCAAAGTGAAGCCAGTTAAACTACTCTATGATCTATTTGTCAATGACTTTGAGGTAAAATATGAATCTAAGTCAGATTGTAACTAAATTTGCAAGCTAGAAAATGGGGAAAATTCTTTTCATAGCAATAAAACTGTGAAACACTAGACTAGCATTTCAAAAATTTTACCAGAGAATGATGTGAACTAAGATGAACACACTATTGTGGTATGCACCTGTAATCCTTGCACACAGGAGGTTGAGGCAGGAGGATTGTTGCAAGTTTGAGACTAGCCTGGGCTACAAAGTGAGCTTAAGGCTAGCCTGAGCTGCATAGCAAGACCTTATTTCAAACCAAAAAAAAAAAGATTCACTTTGAAAAACTTTTCACAAATGAGACACATATATAGTTAGCATTAGGTCAAGAAACAGAACATGAACACTACGTCACAAGTCCCTTCCTGCCGCCTTCCTCTCACTAGAAGACCATGCGTGCACCATACCCTGATTCTAATATCACAGCTTTATGACTCATTTAAAGATGGATAACATTTGAGTATGTAAATACGCATTTTGCACACTTACACAAAGGTTGAAATCTCTTCACAAAAGTGTGCATCATGAAGACGCACACTGATCCTAGATAAACAGAAGGCTGCTTCAATGTCCTGCCATCCCAGAACTTAAGTGCATCCTGGCCCTTCCCATTTATTGAATGTATTTATTAAATAAGCATTTATTGAGCATTAGTTATATCCTGGTCATGAGACGTGGCTCTGAGGGAGAGATATATGTTGTCTTTGAGTGTGCAAAAGTCTAGTAATATGGATACATGGATGAACGCTTACAGCGATGTTGTCGAGCTGAGGGGAACGTGTTGAGAGAATATTCTGGGATGCACGACTACTAGGGTA